AATAATTAGCCCCTTATACCAGTGTATATATAATAAATTACCTCTGATATATAAAACAGATTACCTAAAAGGACAGAATTATTAGAATGCAATGGGATTGTGCAAAATCATGCAACTGCTCTCACATAGCAAAACAGGAAGTTACCCGCTCACCAGAAGAGACACAGAGGCTCATGTATTTTGTACACTGCAGAGGTTCAAAGCTCCACAATCCAGGCAAGGAATAGAAAGAAGAAGAAAAAAAACCCTCCTCACTTTGATAAACTCATTTCCATTTAGTTAATATCTTATGTAAACCCATATTTTTAGTTCAGGGATTCTCAAATGATCGTTTCTGACACATTTAATTTTTCCAATGGAAGAACACAACCATGGGCAGCAAATATAAACCTACTGATAGTAGATGTGCTTTTTAAATTACTTTTTGTGGATTCCTCAGAAGGTAGCCACAAACCTAAGGCTGAAAGCCAGTAATTTACTTCTTCTGACCTTGCAAAGACCTCTTTGTGCCACAAGTTTTATATGACCTTCAAAAACCTAATTTACTTTTAAAAACCACAACATATACAGTAAGCTGAAAAATATCCCTGTGCATTTACTGGTAAGCAGGTTTTATTTCCTTTTTACCAATGCTAGCAGTTCACTGGATTGTATCACAGTGATTGTTCCAAGTCTACACACCAACTTGCAGAAAAAACATCCATCTGACATTTCAACCAAATCCTCTAATAGAAACCCCAATATTATAATAAGAAAAAGAAGTCAGCAAAAGTCCCACCTGAACAAATAACACAAATGCAAAGAACTACTGAAGGGATAAAAGGCCTGTATTCATTTGCCAAGTGGTGAAATAAAAAAAGTGAAATTAGGTACTTAAAACTCCTAAATAGTCAGAATTGTTGCAGACCAAAGCTATTTTTCAATCTAAATACCATTGGGGTGGATGTGTTTTTCTTTCATCCTCTGGAAACAAAAGTCATGCTATGTCAGCATAAAGACTGTTAAATAAATCAAGAAGGTTATTTAAATGCATGTTAAAACATTAAAGAGAAAAAGAACATTCCATAACATATTTAGTCTTCCTTAAAGTTACTGGGGAAAAAACCAAAATAAACCAGTACCCCCCCTCCACAAATCTAATTTACAGGGGGAAAAAAAAAAAAGAAATCAGAAGATCTGATGAATTTTTGAAGTCAGTCACATTGTAAAAAGACAATATGAAAAAACAAAAGCAAACAAATAAAGAGGGAGAATGCAGAAACAAAATGGGAAAAAATGGTAGTTATCATTGTATAAGTCTCCCTCAGTAAAACAAACAAGGGTGAAGAGAAAGGTTATCATGCAAAGAAAAGAGCTGCAGAATTAATATGTAATCTCACTCAAGGGTAATTTTTAAGTTAAACACAGTTGCCACGCTGTCTTACCAAGAATTCAAGAAATCTTCTAGAAGAAACATATATTACTTCTGGAACACAAGTTGGAACTACATTTTAAACCTAGAGAGCTGCAATCTTGTCAAATGTAAAAGAAAAATAAATCAGTCAAAGCAGATTTTACTGGCATTAAATCTGATATTAGGTTTCCCTCTTCAACCATAGAATTATAGAATATCCTGAGTTGGAAGCAACCTACAAGGGTCATCAAAGTCCAACTCTTGGCCCTGCACAGGACAACCCAAAACTGAACCATTAATTAGAAGGATTCATGTCCTTTCTTGAAAAAATGCCTCAGTATTTGTAAACCATGGAAAGTGAAACTATAGAAGCATGAAGCAATCTATCAATACTGTTTGTTTAAGTGTAATGGTATCAGACATGAACCCACGTCTGAGTGAATTCTCATCACAGCCTATTCTTAGTATGGATTTTCCCATTCAATGAGAAATGTGCACAGATGATGGGCAAGTCTGTCAAACTGCTTTTGAAACAGTTAAAACTGTCATACCTGGACCATAAGATCCCTTTCCTCCTTTCCTTTCCTCCCACAGCTCAAAATATAAAAGAAAACCGAAATGCTGCCTCTGCTCACTTCCCCTATAGATCTTAGAATGGTATTAAGGTGCTAAAAATGTTTGAAGAACACACACATGGGAAAAGCAAAGCTCAAGTCATTGTTAAAAAAAATACACAGAATTCAGATCTCTGTTGCCTTCTGAAAGGTGTCTGTCCTTCATGGAAGGGGAAAGACTTCCCCAAAGCCTTCGCTTTGGAACTTTTTTCCACAGACCATACTCATGCAACTGATCTGTGAAATGTGGTGCTTTATTTGAAAGCAGAGTCTGTGTCTTCTTACCTGGCTACAACTCATGACTCAGAAATAAACAGCAGCTCAGAGCCAGAGGATTGGAGCAGTATTAGATTAACTGACATAATATAATCAGACCAGAGGACAAGCCAAGAATTTCTATACACCCAGTAATACAGAAATGCCTAAAAGCCACATAATATGCATATATTTTCCCAAATAAAACTGGATCAGGCTTGATTGACATTGCTGCGTGGCTGTAGTGACTCTGCAGTATAACAAGCAAGCTGCCTATCAGATGGCTCTCTTGTAGCCATACCCCTCTCCTTTTTCCTAGAAAACCAATTTGTGCAGAATGGAAATGGGACCCTAAAAAATTAGAAATGCAGCACTCAGATGCTGCATTGGTACAATTTATCTTGCTTCACAAAACCTGTGGGGACATAATGTGTCTCAATATAAGAAGAAAAGAAAAAAAGTGGAGAGGGAGGGAAGAACAAAGAAAAAACACTGAAGGTCTGACTCTGACCTGTATTATTTACAAAAAGAATCAAATTCTATAGTATTTTAGGAAAGAATTACTCATTTGGGAATGTAACAACTTTTTTTTGCTAAGATCTGGAAGGGCAAGGAAAGAATAAAACAAGTAACTCCCAAAAGTGATTCTACTAGAAGATACAAACAAAAATAAACTATGTTTTTTTCTGTGTATCTGAATTTCTTTGGTATTGAACAGCATGTGTAGCTCAAAGATTTCCTCTTTTGGCTTCAGACATACACTATAATTTGATAAAGGCAGTTCTCTTTCCTGGTTTTCAGAAAAAACAAATTTGTACTCTGAAGTAGCGAATCAACAAAATCATAATGCATTACCTTAGCAATTGGAAGTGTATCAACATAATAATCCATACAGTGATAACTGAAGTCACAGTTAAGTATTTAATCTTGCAAACCAATTGGAGAACATAGCAAGTGATAGAAAAATTGAGGCCAATATGATAAGAAAATGATTCCCCGGTCCTCCTGTGTAAATTAGAGCAATTTGCTTTACCTTTCACACTGAAGTCGTGGAAACAGGAAATACAGCACACTTCCTTATGTTGTAAGGAATTCCAAACTTTCAGATCACTGCTATTTCAATATAGGCCCCCAAATGTAAGTAGCCAGAGGAAGAAACAGTTCTCTGCTTTACATTAAAACATTTATAAATTCCTCCTTGCCTGGAGGGCAGCACTTAGTTCTCCTAAAGCTCAGATGATCACATCATTAATTCTTTTAATTCCTAACAAGTATTTCTGGACCAGTAAGTGGTAACTCGTAAGTGCACATCCCAAAATCCTTACCACAGACAGAAATGAGAAATTCAATTTTACCTGTTAATAGGCAAACGTTAATGCAATAGAAAAATATATAGTCAAACACAGAAGAAAAAGCAAACAGCTGCTTCATTCCCTACAAAACAACTTTAGTGAAATTAGGCTGTAGAAACTTGGGTCAAAGCACTGCACTGCAGATGAGTCACAATTCAGTTGATCAAAATCTTTTGTGTTCTCTTCTCCTTTATAATCATTTGAGGAAGGACTCTGCTTAATTAACTAATTTACACTTTGTATGGTCTTTTTCCAATAGAAATAATTTCAGACTTCTTTTGTCTAAAGATCCAGTTTTATGGCCTTAGGATATTTAATTCAGCCATTTTAGATAAGCCACTGTCCTGTCACTGTGTAATAATCATAACACTGAGATCATAACAGAAAGAATTTAACGTAGTTTTAGAAGATGCTTTATGTAACGTTGCAGTGAAAGGCTGTAAAAGTCTGCTTACCAGAAACCAGTGTACTTCAGTTCAGTCTCCACAATTACAACTGTGCTTTGCCATGCAAGGCAAATCTCTTCTCCTTTGCAGACTCCAGATACATTTGCCCCCTTTTCCCCTGTTTCGTATACCTTATCAGGACAAAACCACGCCACTGCTTCACTTCAAATCCTCAGTGTAGATTTGTATTTTAAATTCTCCCCTCACACCAAAAACAAAAAGCCTGGTTACAGGTATCATTGTAGGCTACACATCCCAAATAGTACCCAATTTCTCTTCAAGCCAGATACTATTGTCCAGCAAATTTGCTTTCCTGACACCTAATAAAATATCACAGACTTTGTAATTACCTGAAATTGTACAGTCTCAGCACTTCTCTTGTCCTGAGATAATTTTAGTTGTGATAACGACTGCCTTGAAGTCAGCTGACAATTGCTTAGCTTGTTTAACTTCATTCTATGGGTATCATATATGCAAAGGTCTGACAAACAATAGTCACTGCTTAACAAACAGGCTATATGTTAACTGGGGCCAGGAGAGGCTGACTATGAACTTTGACTAATTGCTTCTGGGTGAAAACAGTAAAACCTTACTTGGGAACCAGAAAAAAAGAACAAGTAAGCAGACCTTTATAAAATAGAAAAGTGCTATAACCACGACAGAAAAGGAAAATGCCAATGCAGTGACAGTACCCCACTGCAAACCAGTGTCAGCAAAAGGACAGGGAGAACTTGCTTCACTTAGAAGGAAAAGCCACACAGCAATACTACTAGTTTCTGAGATCTCATCAGACAGTATAGAAAAGCAGAAGGCAAAAGAAGTCTGATTGAAAACCTTCCATCTCATCTCCTGTCATAAATTAAATGAGGTTCAATCAGATTTAGGCAAGTTGGCCAGACCAATTAGCTCTGGAATCAGAGACAGCCTTCAAACATTCAAGTAAGCAACTCTCATCCATACCTTTATCCAAAGTTTGAGCACACAGAAATGATGACATTTCACTGACAAGTAAACAACTTCTGAAACCCCTTACTAAAGCAGAGGGCCATCTGCAAAGGCTTGTACCAATAAGTTCAGTAAGAGCACACTTCTACAGTTTGTTTTTACATAACAAGTGAAATAAAAATTCAGTAATATAATCAGGGGCTGCACTTGTGTTAATGAATAAACTTATTATATTTGCTTCTTCTGTCATACTTAACTTTTAAAGGTACACATTCAAGGTTGAGGTGTGAACAATCTGTATCACCATCGTATTCTACCTGGATCAGTTTTGTGTATGCAGCATTATGGCTACTTGCCATACATAATGAAGACATTTGGGAACAACAGCTCATTTGAGAAGCTACTTGTACACCACTTCCAACACCAACAACAAATGCTACGTAGAGTCAGAAAGAACAAATATATTAAGTTCAATCTGAGCATTTTAATTTACACAGAGATTCCCCCAACAGTAGTGATCCGTGGTTTTTATCCCATTTTCCATATTAAAGCTTTCTACTTCTATAAAACTTTCTCATAATTTTTATTAGCTACATGTCATGTTTTGGCTGGGATAGACCTAATTTTCTTCCTAGTAGCTGGTAGAATGCTGTGTTTAGGATTTAGGATGAAAATAATGCTGGTAACACAGGTGTTTCAGTTGATGATGAGCAGTGCCTGCCCCAAGTCAAGGACTTTTCAGTCTCCCATACTCTGGCAAGAAGGCGGCATTCAAGAAGCCAGGAGAGCGCATGGCCAGAACAGCCGACCCAAACTGGCCAAAGGGATATTCTATGTCATCATGTCCAGTATATAAACCAGAGGGAGTTGGCAAGGAGGGCTAATTACAGCTCTGGGATGGGCTGGGTATCAGTCAGTAAGAGGTGAATAATGGTATTGTGCATCACTCATCTTTCTTGGGTTTTACTCCTCTCTTTTTTTGTCTCTCTTTTCATTACAATTTTTATTATTATTAAATTTATTTAAATTATTAAACTATTCTTATCTCAACCCACAGATATAACCTTTTTCCCAATTTTCCTTCCCAAGACATGGGGGGAGTGGGAGGACTGGGGTGAACACGTGTTGTACTTCATTGCCAAATGGAGTTAAAGCAGGACACTACATTAAGCCAGTTAACTACATCTTTCAGTAACCTTTGTTTGCTTTCAGATAACCAGTGCACTTCAGTTCTTTAAGTGAATACACATATCTCCATATGCTGGGGCTCTATCCACATTATTGTCATCTTTAACAGGTAAAATCATAGCTAAAAATTTACCAAATTAGTTGTTTAAGATTCTGTCTCTGGTGTAATTTCCAAACTTTTTTTTTCACATCTTCTGTAATGTTTCAAATCATAGGCCCACACAGTGTCTATTCCCTCTCCAGTAGTATGATCTGGAATCCAGCAGGGGAACGGAAAGCGACAGGCAATGATTCTGGCATTACATTCAAGTTCTTCTTCCAGCTTCTTCTCCAACTGTGGCATCTGTTGAGTAATAATAAAAAGCTTTCAGATGCAGTTAAAAAAAACCAGAAGCATTCTCTTAGAATCTAATTCAAGTGTTCAAGAGAAGTCCAAGTTTAAGGATTTTTTTTTAAGTCTTACAAAAGTATTCATGATATATATTTTTGCCTTTGATGCCTTGACAAAGAATATCTAAAACGAGACAATGGCTATTGTGCCCGATTGGTGACATCAAGGAAATTGTTAACTCTAAGTTCTAAAAATTAAATCAAAAATTTATCCCTTAGATTAAAAAAAAAAAAAAAAAGGGAAAGAAGGAAAGAAAAGACTTTGCATGTTCCAATTCATGATTCCCTTTCCCTGCAGTGGGATTCTTCTCTGTAGAGAATGAAAGCTCAGCCCCCTGAATTTATGCTTTTTCTGACACCTCTATGTTCATGAGCTATTGTGTGGTACTCAAAAGTCACCAGTGGTCATAATTTACAGTCTAACCCCAAGACAGATCCTGGGACACTCCAAACATCACACAAACAACTAAAGGCAAACAATCTGCTGTCACTGTATTGTGAAGTGCTGCTATGTGAAATACTATTGAAATTGAGCTTTGATGAATCCACAGCCTGTTAACACATGCATGTGAGTACCTGCAGCAGCACTGCATGAAACAGAATGCAGAATCATAGAATGGTTTGGAATGGAAGGGACCTTTAAAGGTCATCTAGTTCAACCCCCCTGCCACAGGCTGGGACATCTTCAACTAGATCAGGTTGCTCAGAGCCCCATTCAGCATGACTGCTTATTTACAGTGATGGGACATCTACCACCTCTCTAGGCAACCTGTTCCAGTGTTCCACCATCGCAAAAATTTTCATACTTACATATACTCTGAATCCACTCTCTTTTAGTTTAAAACCATTAACTCTTTTTCTGCCACTACAGGTGTTACTACAAAGTCTGTCCCCATCTCTTCTATAAGTCTCCTTTAAGTATTGAAAGGCCACAACAAGGTCTCCCCAGAGTCAAGTCTTGTCTAGTACGAACAACCCCAACTCTCTCAACTTGTCTTTATAGGAGAGGAGCTCCAGCCCGCGATGCTACATCCTCTGATAATGCTTATAGCCTTCCTCTGAACCTGCTCCAACAGATCCATATCTGTCTTGTGCTGAGGACCCCATAACTGGATGTAGCACTCCAGGTCGGGTCTCACCAGAGCAGAGTAGAGGGGCAGAATCCCCTCCCTCAACCTGCTGGCCACTCTGCTTTGGATGCAGCCCAGAATACAATTGGCTTTCTGGGCTGCAAGTGCACATTGCTGGCTCACGTCCATCTTTTCATCCACCAAACACCCCGAAGTCCTTCTCAGCAGGGCTGCTCTCAGTCTGCTCATTCCTCAGCATGCATTGATACCAGGGTTGCCCTGACCCAGGTGCAGCACCTTGCACTTGGTCTTGTTGAACTGCATGATGTTCCCATGGGCTCACCACTTGTCCAGGTTCCTCTGGATGACCTCCCATTCTTCAGGCATGTTGACTGCACAACTCAGCTTGGTGTCACCTGCAAATTTTTCTGAGGATGCACTCAATCCCACCGTTTATGTCATTAATGAAGTTATTAAGCAGGACTGGCAGACCCCTGAGGAACAGCACTTGAGATCAGTCTCCATTTGGACATTGAGCCACTGACCATTATCCCCTGGATACAGCCACCCAGTCAATTCCTTATCCACTAAATAGTCCATCCACCAAACCCACCTCTCTCCAATCTAGAGAGCAGGATGCTGTGTGGGACCACGTCACATACCAGGATGCAACTCTCCTTGGTTGAACACCAGTGGTCTAGCCTTGCTCCTTTCACAAACACTGAGAGGATATGAAAGTCAAGGGAAATACCACTACTCTTCTAGAACAGAGACAGACAGTATCTGACTGGTCAGATACTCTCCTTGCAAATTTTGTTATGAATTAAGTGAGAAATGAATTAACACACTAAGACTTCAAAGAAATTTCTTTCTCATCCCAGAGAGTAATCCTGTTCTGGATGAAAAAAAAAAAAAAAAAAAGAAACTCAGCAGATTTAGCCATTTTTGTCCTTCAGAAAAGTTCGATGGCATTGATATGCTTAAGCACACCAGCAGTGTCACATCTATTTGGTGTTCCTTTTATTCTTCCATACTGTATGTATCTGAATGAGAATTGCAACAGCAAACTCCACAGGCTACTTCTATTATGTGTAAAACTCTATTTAATTTGATAGAATGATGCAACATTTAGATATTAAAAGGTTAAAAGGATAGTAATAATTTACAAATGTAGATCACCTTAAGACATGAAGGCACAAAATATATAAAAATTCCACAAAAATAAAAAATTTAAAAAACCACTAAAACCCAAAACAAACAAAACCACAAAAAAATCAAAAACACAAACAAAAAAACAAACACCCAACCAAAACCCAACAGAACATTATTAGAAAACAAGAGTGATTGAAGAAAATGTATTTCCAAAGGGTGCAGGTAACTTCCACTGTCACATACATGCAGGGTGTGCCTTTGATGTAATATCCTGTTATAGATGCGTTTAAGCTTACAAAAGAATATTTTAGGAAAATTATAGTTATAGACCCAATATATCAGAGTTGCCTCCTAATATTTTTAAGCATTCTATGTTCTGATTCCATCCATCAATAAATCCAAGTTTTGTAAGCTAATCTTGGATATGAAGTAAAAGCACTGTGTGGCAGCATCAAATCAGACCAGCATTATTAAAAACGCTAAAGAGATCTATTGTCCTCAGTAAAAAAAAATTTAAAAAAAATTAAAAACAATTAAAAAAATAAAATTTAAAAAAAAAAAAAAAAAAAAAGAGAAAAAATGTATTCAGGCTTCAAAAAAACTTAATTCAGTCACTCCAGAGGGTTGTGACTGAAGAAAATTTAAAGGGGATCATAAACAAATGAATGTTCAGGAAACACAGGTTCCTATGCCTGCATCTGTTGCATTTATGACAGTATTTCTACTGAAAGAATTTAGCCTAGTATTTACTGGATTTCAAAAGATTTTCTAAGCCCTAAAGTTACTCTTTCTATCACAGCTGTTACTAATTTATACCACTTTATTACATTTAAAGTTAAGTCAGTATTTCTTCTGGGATTACCCACATTTTCCCAGGGCATTTGTTAATTTCTAGTTTACCAAAGCTGCATTCTTCACCCGCACTTTTCCCCCTCGGTGCCATGGCAGAATTCCTGACTTCAAATCCAAACGTTTGTACTGCCCCCTGCTGGAACTCAAGTGGGAGAGCACTAAAGAAATCTATGCAACTATATTTCTACACCAGTTTTGAGGAATGCTTTTTCCCTAAAGATACACTGAACATAGGCTACAGAGCTACCTGAGGTATTTGTGTACCTTCCTATTTCAATATATCAGCTGCTGGCCTACTTGAGGTGATCTGAGTTTTGGAGAACATAAACAAAATTCAATACTCTCCTCTATCAAGGCTCCCAAAAATGAGTTTTAGTGAATTTCCTACTCCATCTTCTCCCTGCAAACTCCTTTTTTCAGAATGAAAAACTGAAATTTCCGAGAACAAATTTATCGGCTTCTCTCCGAGCACCTTGAGCGGTTTTCATTTGATTCCAAACAAATGGACAGAAAATTCTTCTCAAAAACATGTGTATTTTCCAATTTACATACTGTCACAAGTTTTACCAGGCTTTATCATGGCCATTATGAAGCAACGATGAAATATCAAAATATTATTATTTGGGATTGAGTGACAACACCAAACTGTGTGCTACAGTTGATATGCTGGAAGGAAGGGATGCCATCCAGAGGCACCTTGAGAGGTGGGCTGATGCAAACCTCGTGAAATTCAACAAAGCAAAGTGCAAGGTCCTATACTTGGGTCACAGAAAACTCAGACACATCTATGGGCTGGGCAGAGAAGTGATTGAGAACAGCCCAGCAGAGAAAGACTTGGGGTTGATGGCTGATGAAAAACTCAACATGAGCTGGCAGTATGCACTGCCAGCCCAGAAAGCCAAACTGAATCCTGGGCTGCATCAAAAGCAGCATGGCCAGCAGGTCAGAGGATATGATTCTACCTCTCTACTCTGCTCAGGTGAGATCTCATCTGGAGTACTGTGTACAGTTCTGGTGCTCCTAACATAAGGACATGGAACTGTTGGAGCAGGTCCAGAGGAGGGCCATGAAGTTGATAAGAGGACTGGAGCACGTCCCCTACAAAGATAGGCTGAGAGTTGGGGCTGTCCAGCTTGGAGAAGAGAAGGTTGCATGGAGACCTCATAGCAACCATCCAGTGTCAGAAGAGGGGCTACAGGGATGCCAGAGACGGACTCTCAGTTAGGAACTGAAGTGATAGCACAAGGAGGAATGAGTGCAAATTTAAAGAGGGGAAATCTAGGTTAGACATTAGGAAGAAATTCTTTCCTGTAAAAGTGGTAAGCCCTTGGAACAGGAGGCCAGGTTGGATGAAACCTTGAGCAATGTGGTCTAGTGGCAGGTATCCCTGCCATCCATGCCCAGGATGGGTCTAGATGATCTTTAAGGTCCCTTCCAACCCCTTAGCATTCTATCATTTTGTGATTGTTACTGACTACCTTTGATCTGCTGCAGGTTAGTTCATTTTGTAGATAAATGTACTATCACTGAATGCCTTTGTATTAAAATAATTAATCAGTGCAAAAATAGTAAACTTACCATCTGAGGTACGCCAAAAACAACAATATTTCTATAATGAGAAAAAGAAACCTAAAATAAAAATTGAGAACAAGTCTTAATGAAAATGGCATTTATATTCAGAGAAGTTCTTACCGTTCTTTTCTCCCAATCCCTCTAGCTGCACTTCTTTCAGCAGGCATTTAGACCAAAAATATGAAAGGAGATCCTGTATCAACTTTTCATTACACAAATTTCCACATAAAGAAAACTTTATATTCTGAACAGCAAAAAGTCTACAGTCTGGCCAAGGATATGGTACCAATTTTAGTAGAACAGAAAGCATAAATTTAGAAAATACCTACATGATTTTATTTATATCTAAGTTTGGAGCATTTTCACAGCTTCTGTAAATGCTAAAATAATGTATAGTTTAAGTTTTTGTTAAATGTTAGCTAGTTATAAAAACATACTAGGCATTCTAATGCCTGGGTACTTCCAGTCAGTGCCATGGAGTTTTCCTATGCTACTCTCTGAGGAGAAAAAAAAAAAAAAATCCCAAACCCAGAAAAAAAAGCCCCACGTAATTCATCAGGCACAGGGCTGTTCAAGTAGCCTTTACTGATAAAGGGCAGCACTTCAACAAAGCTCAGAACCAGCAGAGCAGCATATTAAGCCTGTAGAAACTTGAGTCCCAGCATAAGTACTTTGCTCAAAGCCCAATATAGCACCTTGTTGCCAGTCAGCATTACAGTTCCTTCAGGAAAGTATTTCCAAACTATGAAAATCTCTCAATCATCCTAGATTCCTTCTTACATACTTCACTACCTACCTTCCATAAGTCTGAAATATAAAATTTGGTATTCTGATGTACTCCATCTCTCCAGGCTCGGTATCTGGAATACCAAACTAGCCAGGGATTTAATTCATAACCAACAGCTTTGAATCCCTTTTTTGCAGCTGCTATCACCTACAAGAAAGAAAACAAATCTTCACTGAGAAACATAAAAGCCTATTCATCTAAACAGGAGCAGAGTTTTATTTAAAATATAAATCAAAAGAAAGCACTTGTGTAAGTCACTCAGGTTTAAATGCCCAAGAGTATAGTGTGGTATAGTGAACAAAAACTCAAAACTACATTTTACTATTATGGCTAATCCAATTAAAATAAGTATATTCAGACAAACAAAATTAATTCATAAACATTCACAGGGCAAAATTGTAAACTTGTAGTACATCTATGACTCAAGTAAAAGTTTAATTAAACAGATTCACAACACTATCTTGGAATTAAAGAGTACCAGAATTGACCATGGAGAGAACAGTAAAACACACAAGGAAAAATGCTCAAAATTAGGCCACTTATTTGAAAAGCAGTGAGGGGTAGGCACGTGAGCAACACCTGAATCAAAGCCAAAACCAACAGCAAGAGTCTGAAAGTGATCTGTTGATACATATTTAAAAAAAAAAAATTAAAAAAAAAATCAAAAAGACACAGTTTATAGACTAAAGGTTTAATACATAATTTAAAAGGTTATTGACAAATTTGAATCAGGAAACGTCTGATGAACTATGAATTTTTATTCTTGTAATCCATCAGTCATTTTTCATTCTCCTTTTCTGTTCTGTCACCTTTATACATTAAGCTTGAACTGCAGCTCCAAAAGCGCAGTGCTATTTAATCTCACAGCCTCATTTGCTGCAGCTATACACCTATGTGGAATCACAGCACCAATATTTTGGTGGCATCTGTTCATGTGAACACGTGCAATTCCCTCCAGTCACCACGACGAGGCTATCATTTTGTATGCTGCCTTGGTCAAGCTGCAAGACTGGAGCAAAAAGTATTTATTACTCACCCAAACTCAATGTAAATCTTTCTCAACTTTGATCCTTTGCATAAGACTCAAACAAAACCAGTGGATGCCAAAGACAAGACATTTTTAAGTATGAGAAGACAGCAGCCACAGCTACAGCATTTGGTAGAGATGCGGTATGAAGGCATTTTTGAGGCATGGTATGAAGGAAGGCAACGTCCATAACTTACAATGCGGCCATCCCCGCTACCAATGTCAACTAGGGGGCCACTTCTATTTTCCAACATTTTCAGCACATTCTGGATCTGAGCGGCAGTTGCAGGAACAAAGGGCAGGCACACCTTCCTCAGGGCCGGGGTCACAAAGGGGGTGACCACGGCATAGAGGGCCACCAAGGTGCCGCCGAGCCCAGCCGTGACCAGCAGCCCCCAGCTGCTCCTCCTGGAGCCGCCCTCGCCATCCTGCTCCGGGCTCTCCTTCACCGCCGCCTCGGACATCGCACCTGGGGGCCGACAGAGAGCACTTTCACTAACAGCTTTATTAAATGCTCAGTTGCGATAAAGCAGTGTGTTCCATCAAAGAGAGAGGACATTCGAAACAAAGCAAAACAAAACAAAAAACAAAAAACCAACTAAACAAACCCGTCCCCTCCCTCCCCCGTTATATTCCCAGACCCTAGGGACATGCTCCAATTGCCGAGAAGCCGAGGCAGGAGGTTACATTGTTTCAGAGCAGGAGAGCCGTTTCCATGAAAGCCCGCAGATCACCCCTCCACCCGCCCAGTCGGCAGCGCCCCGGAACGGCTCAAGGGCAGCGCAGGCAGGGACCTCCCAGCCAGGGACGGCTCGGGAGCCCGCACACAGAGAAACGTCCCGGAGGAGTTCCTTTTCTTCCTCCCAGGAGAAACTTTTTTCCAGGGGACGGGGACATTCAGCCGTGCCCGCCTGGACACCGCGATCGCAAAGAAACCCACTGACAAACGAACCTACAGTCATGCTGGTCCGGCGGCACTTATAGGGAAGGGCAGTACCACTTCGCCATGCGGGGTGGGGGACATGAACCTTTCTGAAGGCGCTCTGGAGAGGAGCGCCGCGCACACTTTTTCTGCCGTGTGTCTGTCTTCACTCTGCCGCGCTCACGCCACCCCGTGCGGCCCGCTGTCGCCGCGCTTGGCGCCCGTATCCCACCGCCATGGAGAAGATCCTCTCTACCTCCACCCCCGCGAGCCGGAGGATGCCGCTTCCCCCCCGTGCCGGACCCTTCCAGAAGGGTCCGCCGGGGGCGCCACAAAGGTTCCGCCCGCGAAATATGTCCCGCAGGTGCCGGCTGCGCAGGCGCGGGGCGGGGCGCGGCGTCACGTTGGGCGCGGCGGCTTCCGGTCGGAGCGCGCGAGCGGCGGCGGCGGCAGTGGCAGTGGCAGGAGCGGGAGCCATGTCGGCCATGGGCACTCTGGCGTTTGATGAGTATGGGCGTCCCTTCCTCATCCTCAAGGACCAGGAGCGCAAGACGCGCCTGATGGGGCTCGAGGCGCTCAAGGTGAGCTAGGCGAGGCGAGGCGGGGTCGCTGATCCACCCGCGGGCCCGCGCTGGGTGGGCCGCGCCATGCCGTGCTGTGCTTTGCTGCTGCGAGAGGTGGGAGGATGGAGGCCCTGGGAACGAGGCCGCGCCGTGCTCTCCGCCAGCCCCACCCGAGGCGCAGGACGGATGGAGCCCGCTGTAGGCCCGCAAGCGCGGGAGGGATGGAGGGAGAAGGAAGACATCGCCCCGGGGCCGGGTATGCGCGGCACGGCGCCCCTGGGGTCTCCGTGCGGGAATCCGCCCCGGAGTCGCGGCGTTCTGGGGCCGTCACCCCGCAGGTGCAGGCGCCCCTCCCCGCGGCCCCTCCCTGGAACTGCCGCCCCCCACCCGGAGTGGCCGCTGGGGGAAGGCCGGGGCTGAGCGAGTCGGCACCGTGTGAGAGTGCGGGTGATACAAATAGCGAGGGAAGAGCGGAGTAAGCACTGGCACAGGTTGCCCATGGAGGCTGTGGCTTCCACATCCGTGGCAGCGCCCAAGGCCAAGTTGGATGGGACTCTGAGCAACCTGGTCTAGTGGAAGGTGTCCCTGCCCCTGCAGGGGCTTAGATCTGGTTGATCTTCAAGGTTCTTTCCAACCCAAACCATTCTGTGGTGATTCTGTGATGAATGAAATTGTGCTGACTTCTCCTTGTAGCATTACCTGCTCCTGTTGCTGCCCTCCTTTAAACCTGGGTGCTGTCGCTTTGGCTGCTCTGCCTTTGCATGCTTTAGCGGAGCCAGCACAAGAAAAGCCACAGGAAGTGTTTCTGGCATAGAGACGATACACATATCTTGATTTCTTTTCTTCAGTCATAGTCAGTTGTTGTCAGTTGAATTGCAGTGTTTGCGTTACTGTATTCTTCCTAGCTTATTGTTATGATTTCAGAATACGTGGTAATTATTTACCTTCTTTCTCCTTTGTTTTTTCAGTCTCACATAATGGCAGCAAAGGCTGTAGCAAGTACTCTAAGAACATCCCTGGGTCCCAATGGTAATAAAGAAACACTTCTACTGATTCTCTCTTAGTAATTGTTTTGAGGGATTTTCTAGGTTTTCCTTCATGCTTTGAACGTGTGTTTTTAGGCTTGGATAAAATGATGGTGGACAAGGATGGTGAGGTGACTGTGACAAATGATGGTGCTACCATCCTGAATATGATGGATGTGGATCATCAGATAGCCAAACTTATGGTGGAGCTGGCTAAGTCTCAAGATGATGAAATTGGGGATGGAACTACTGGAGTCGTTGGTAAGAAAGTATTTTAAATTTGACTAAGATTTTCCAGCTTTAAAATCAAGCTTCTTCAGCTATTTTGAGAAATTTTGTGTGAAGTAACAGTAGCTTTTCTTTAGCAGTTCTCTACGGTATTGCTGCAGTGTTTTTGTAGGGTCGTTTCTAAGTATTTAATGCTGAGAACCCTCTTTGTACTTTAAACATTTTTCTGTATGATTTTCTTCCATAATCTTCTACCTGTCCTGCATTGGTGCCTGTCCTTTATTTTGGTCTTAACATAATGCTGTTTTCTTTCTAAGCACAGCAAGTAGGGGGTTGTTTAGATTATTTTGTTACTTAGGAAATGTTGAATTTCTGTAATATTACAGAAAAAATGAGAAAGCATGCTTTTTAATCTGTTGATAATGTATTTAAAATGATGCTCCAATCAAGAGTAAAATTTACTTTAATTTTTTTTTTGTAGTTCTGGCTGGAGCACTGTTGGAACAGGCTGAGCAATTACTAGATCGCGGTATTCACCCCATCAGAATAGCAGATGGTTATGAGCAGGCAGCCCGCATTGCTATTGAGCATCTAGACAAAATCAGTGACAGCTTTCCAGTTGATCCACAGAACATTGAGCCTCTGATCCAGACAGCAAAGACAACTCTAGGCTCTAAAGTGTAAGTCACAAAAACTTCAGAATATTTAAGCCTCCCTTGAAAACTCTTTGAGGGGAATAGAGAAATCCTGGTGTTTTGATGAATTATTAAATTGTTTGCGTTGTTGAAGTGCTGCTAAGGGCCCTCTTATGTTTAATTTTGGCTGATTTCTCAATGGACTATGTTGCGAATCCTTTGTCTCTAAATGGTCAATTCCATGAAGTTTAACAGCACAGAATCAGCTTCATTCTAACGTGTTAGTTCCAGATTTCTGCATCACAGCAAATTCCAAGAGTAATGTAAATCTTATAAAAATAATTATGTGTAACGTTTCAGAGGTTTTGTTTGTTGTGGGGTTTTTTCCCCTAAAAAAATTTTACCTCAGGATAGTTCCATAAGTTTATTTTCCTTTATGGATTCTGTGTGTACTTCAGACATTGGACAGGCTTCCTTTGCTGGGCTGTCTTAACAGTGGCTTCTGTCATTTGGATGTTTATTAATAGTTACTGCTCCTCACTGTATCAAGACTGTCCACAAAGGCTCTTTACACCAATCCTGTTGTGTGTTGTGTTTTCTGCCATATCCAGCACCTTTTATGTCTGTGAACAAGCAGACAGGACCCTCTCTTTTAATGCAGAGTGCAAAAGTTTCTAGCTGTAGTGATACTTCCTGCTGTTCGAGATTTGATAGAATCACTTTTTTTCTCCCAAGTTGAGGAAATGTAATGCAACTTAATTGTTTGTTTGTTTTTAAACATAGAGTTAACCGTTGTCACAGACAAATGGCAGAAATTGCCGTGAATGCTGTACTGACAGTAGCAGACATGGAACGTAAAGATGTTGATTTTGAGCTGATCAAGGTACAAGGCAAAGTGGGAGGTAGACTGGAAGATACGCAGTTGGTTAAAGGAGTGATTGTGGATAAAGATTTCAGTCATCCACAGATGCCTAAAGTAAGTGACGTCCCTGTGTGTGTCTGTCACGTGTAATGGCTTAAATAAGATTGTCTTTACATGCTGTCCTGGCATTTGTTTTTAATATTTAAACAATCTTGTGGTTTGGCTTGGCTTTTCACCCATGTATCAACAGAGGAAGGGGAGAGGAGCATGAAATTCTTCATGTTGGAAGTTTAGAATTTACAGTAATATTGAGAAATTATGGCAAGGGGAGGAATTGCTGTCCTGCTAAGTGAGGACAAGGGCAGAGAGTTCTATGTTAAAGCAGAAATCATCATCCATAGTGTGTGATAGGCTTAATATGCTTAATGAAAGTTAGTATCAAGAAGTGCTTCTTAACCTTTGAGATTCCATGTTGTGCTGTTTGGAACACCCCAGAAACTGTCCTTGTATTATATTTAATGTAGATAAGGTCTCCAAGTCTTTGGGCCCTGTACTGCAAGAAAAATGGAGGCAGTTGAAAATTTCTACTATTCTTAACTATTTTTCTAGCTGGTGACACTGTTTATTCTGTGAAAAGGAAGACGAGTGAAAAATATCAGTCGTGTAGTACTTGAAATGTTGCTATAAAAATTATTAGTGTTCTCAGTGGTCACTGTGGATAGGGCGAACAACAGTTTCATTGAATTTTTTCTGGTTTTTAAACATTAAACTATGAAAAGATGTCACTGTTAAAGATTGTTAAGAGCTTAAACAGTGTCTAGAAGCTGTGGAATTTATTCTAAGAGGGTTACAGAGATTTTTGACAGAATTATTTAGTTATAGTTAGTTCCCCTTGAGAATAGTTAGATGGTCTTCACATTTCCTCCTATGCCCATGTTTATAAAGATATGTCTGTAAGTTTTGCTGATATAAGAAAGAGGTGCTAATGAGGCCAAAACTCAACTTTTTGGTTTTTTTTGAATTGCACAGGAGCTAAAAGATGTTAAAATTGCGATCCTTACTTGTCCATTCGAACCACCTAAGCCTAAAACCAAACATAAGCTTGATGTCACATCTGTGGATGACTACAAGGCACTGCAGAAATATGAAAAAGAGAAGTTTGAAGAGATGGTGAAGCAGGTAGTCTTTAGGATTATTTCTGTTTTCTTTGTCTTTCATAGCCTTTACACAAAATAGCATAATACATTGATTTATTCCTGGAAATGAGGTAATACTCCTTATAAGAGGCAACATACAAACAATGCCAGAGGGTTCTTCTTCAGATTTGTATTTTGACAAAATTATGAGAATTAAAACCACGAAGAGATTGTTTAAGACTGATGATTTGTGTTGCTTTCAGATAAAAGACACTGGTGCAAACCTTGCTATTTGCCAGTGGGGTTTTGATGATGAGGCAAATCACCTGCTGCTCCAGAATGAGCTGCCTGCTGTTCGTTGGGTTGGTGGACCTGAAATAGAAGTAAGTAAAATTGGGCTTTGTACCAGTTGTCAAACATTTGTTAAATAATAGGCTGTACCAGCTAGAAGTTCAGCTTTCTGGGTAGAACTGCGTAATTGTGCACATGGGTGTGTATTGGAGAAAAATCATTGGTGATCTGTGGAGGAACATACAACGAATGGGATTATGGTTTATAATTGGAGTGTACATATATGACTTTAGATGTCTAAGAACGTTTCTGCTTTAGTCTTGCAGTTTGCAGAAATGAAGCATCGCCTGAAATACTTTCAAGTGGTGGGAAGATAAGCTTTTGGAGTAGGCATTTGACAGATTCTTTTTCACTAGTTTTATGTTATGTAAAACACCA